TGGTTCCCACATCATGGGACATAGATTCTGTGCAAGAAAAAAACAACTTGCAAGGACGTATGAATGAATGACATGTAATGTGTAAAATTAATACATGATTATCATCATCACAGGGCTCCCGATGAGTGTAATCTACCTGACAAATGTTATTTACAGTTACAGAAAAACAATTCTGATTCTTAAAAGCAAAAAGAAGAAGAGAACATCGGCTGCTTCTGCCTTTTGTGCAATCCTAGAAGTCCTACCTCCCAAGAGACACCTAGGACCCATAAAAGCATGGGGGAAGCACGGAGTTTTGCAATTTTCCCATCTGCATGATCAAAAGTGCAAACTGTGGTTACCCAATGGCTTAGGCAAATTGTCAGCTTTTGCACAGACTTGCTTTGAGTTTAATGAGAATTAAGCTTGTATCCTGTTCAAAACATGTGCAGATTGCATCAGAAAGGAGCAGGAGAACCCAGTTAGGGAAAGGATCAATCGTGGCCCTTTTCTTTGCTGGGGCACTGGATCCACTGGGGATTAACTGGCTGACAGCACTTTTAGAGCTCTGGGATTTTTTTTTTTAAAAGAAGTAAAGACAGAAACACTAAGACTGAGAGCTCCCATCTACTGGTTCACTTTCCAACCAGAGATAGTTTGAGAAGGAAAGGGCACGAGAGAGAAAGAGAAACCCTTTGTTCTTCATTCATTCAATAGATGTCTACTGAGCATTAACCCCAAGCCAGTTACTATGTCAGATATGGGAACTAGAACATAGCAAGACACATTCTATCTGTCTTGGGCTTTATAGTCTGTTGGGAGAATCAGCATTAAATCAAACATTATAACATAATTCCTGAATTATAATAACTATTATGGAAAAGAATAATATGAAAGAACTTCTACCTGTGAGCATGAAGGAAAACTTCTCTGAGAAAGTAGTATTTAAGATCAGATTTGAAAGACAGAGTATATAACGCAAAGGGAGGGAATTTGGTCTGGGGTTAAGTTGCTGGTTAGGAGGCCGGATCTCTCTTATCAGAACACTTGAGTTCAAGCCCTGGCTCCACCTCCAACTCCAGCTTCCTGATAATGTGCCCCTGGGGAGGCAGCTGTGATAGCACAAGTAACCACCCTGCCACCTTGCCACCCTGTGGGAGACCTGATTGACTTTCCAGCTCCTAGCTTTGACTTGGCTTAATTTCCTTCACTGTAGATATTTAGGGAGTGAGCCAGCGAACAAGTACAATCTCTTTCTCTCTCCCTCTTCCCCTCTCTGCCTCTCAAATAAAGTGAATAAATGGATAATTTTTTAAAAGGGCAAAGGGAGGAGGAAGTTAGAAACTAGGAAGTATGTTAGAGGCTGCAAGAAGAACATGAACGAAATATTCTATGGCAGAAAATTAGGGTGGGTGAGAGGAGGTGTGCATATGAGTGAAGACAAGAGAGGCGAGCATAAGATGGATTGCGTAAGACCTAACAGGTCAGTAAAAGGATTGGGGTTTTATCTTCAAGTCACTGGGAACCTACTTGAGTGTTTTAATGAGGGGAATAATATCATCAATTTTTTTAAACAAAATCAAGATATACTACAAATACGATCAGCAGAATCTCATTATCATAATATTAACAAAGAGCACAGCCTGTGATTTCCATTTTAGCATACAAACCGCAGGACTGATTGGGTGGGAACAGTGGGGAACGAGGTGGTCCTGGGTCTGGCAAGATACACAGAGCTCACCTCTTTGTTTGTTGTCAAAGACTAAATATTCATCTGATTTGATGCCAAGGTAGCATTTGGGTAAGCTGGGACAAAATCCTCATTTAAAACTCTTCCTCTTCTTTGAAAGCTTCAAAAGAAAATTTCTGCTCAACAGGAGCCTTGCTTGTGGGTGGCATTGTGGACCACCAGCAAGGCATGGTCTGAGAGATGCCAAAGGACTGCTTTTCTAGTTCATTCCAAGTTTTCTCTAGCCTCCAACAGTGTCTAAAACATGACCAGTGCAGTTGTATCAGGCTGAATTACCAAACCAACTTGGAACTCATCCCCCAGTGCGTCTAGGCTGCCTTCCTGGGGCTGAGTTGTCTTGATCTTATTTATTCAGGTATGAAAGAAGAGTCAAGGTTGTTTGAGACCAGATACTCTGTAGCGATAGGAAGGGCCAGAGACTGAGTAGACATAGAGAGGGATGCGCAAAGGAACCCAACCTCCTGTTCTGACTTCCTGTGGTCTTGTGCTGATCATTGCATCAGCTGATGTATATGCTGATATATGTTGTGTATTCATACAGAGAGACACATGGCATATTAACGGCATGTATATAACTTCATAATGTAACAACTGATCGTTTTGGTATGCAACACACTAGCATGGCATTGGATATACCTTGGTCATGGTGCAGGTAAGGTAATGGTGGCAGTATTAGGTGGACCTTGCTTTGGATCACTAGTTTCTTAATCCTGAGAAAGCTGTAGCAGTTACCTCCATGGGGGTTATTGGGAAGATTTAGTGAGAAACCAGTTTTTTAAATTAACCATTAGTCACTTTACTTGTATGCTTGTTTGTTTGCCAGAGAGAAAGAGAATTTCTCATCCCACTAACTTCCCAAATGCCAGAAATGGGGCAGCTAGAAACTCACTGTAGGTCTCCTACATGGGAACCATCGACGATTGCCTCTGAGGGTGCACAGAGCAGGAAGCTGGATTAGAAGCAGAGCTGGGACTTGAACTCAGGCTCTATACTACAGGACGTGGGTTCCCACGTGCAGGCTAACTATTATGCCAAACGTCTGCCTCCAGCTCATCTAGTAAAAACTTTAGCAGTCATTGATTTGTGGCACACAGCAGAAGCTCCATACGTTTACTGTGATTAAGATGATGTGCATGAGAATCCGTGTGTGTATGTGTGTGTGTGTGAGAAGGCACAGGCATGGGTGTACAAGGGAGATACAGCAAGTGTAAGAGAAAGAGAGGGGAGGGAGAGGAAATTGCTAACCTTGCAGCAGGAGTCCCAGCTCAGGGATGGCCTTGCTAAGGGTGAGGGAACTGTAGGTGGCCCACAGAGAATGGCTCAGCTTTGCCTGCTGGGAAACAGAATAAGGGTCAGGAAACCACCTCAGCCTGTAAGGGCTCCCACAGGCACAGGATCAAGAGCCCAGAAATTGAAAGGTGTGATAATGAACTTCAAAGGGGAAAAACAAAGAGAGAGAGAGAGATCTTCCATCTGCTGGTTTATTCATCACACAGCCTCAGTGGCTGAGGCTGTACAAGGCAGAAGCAAGGAGCAAGAACTCCATTCAGGTCTCCTACGGGAAATACCTGGGCCGTGCTCTGCTGAGTTTCCAAGAACATTTATCAGGGAACCGGATAGGAAGCAGAGCAGCCAAGACACCAACCTGTGGCCATATGGGATGTTGGCACTGTGGCAGGCAGGCAGGAGGATCCAACCTGCAGGGCACTTGTCAAGAGCTGCCTTCCCCAGGTGCCCAGCTTGTCCTTGTTTTCATGGCCATGTCTGATATTTGTCCTTCTTGGGAAATCCTCAAAAAGGGCTCAGAAACATTCACCTTTGACACGTTTCTCATTGGGCAGGTTTTGACTTCCTGGATAGAAAACACGCAAGATGAAAATACAAACTCTGTGAACATGTGGTCTTAAGGACTTGGCTTTTTTTTTTCCCCCCAAAACAGCGTCAACTCACAGGAGGGTGGTGCTGCAGGTAAGGCAGCTGCCTGGCGGTGAAAGCGTTAACAGGGCCGGGTAAGACGATCCCTTGAAGTGAGTAAGACTCTGAGTTGTTAAAGTTTTCAAAGCTGTGACTGCAGCCGCAGCCAGCGGGCTAGAAGGAAGTCACTGGGTTGGTTGGTTGGTCGGAGCGCGTCCCTGCGCCCCAGGAGCAGAGTCCAGCCAGGGTTCCCAGCGCCAGGTGAGTGGTCCCCCTCGCCTTCCCTGGCGCCCGTCCGCCACGCTGACCCCTCCCAGGAGAAGTCCCGAGCCGCCAGCTGAAGCGGCACAGTCTCTCTCTCTCTCTCTCTCTCTCTCTCTCTCTCTCTCTCTCTCTCTCTCTCTCGTCCTCCTCCCCGCGCTACAATCCCTGCTGCCTCCCCCCTCCCTGTGTCACACCTGCCTGTGGACTGCTGGGGCCACTGGCAAGACGACCAAACGTGCCCTCCCGTGTGCCCCCGAGACCCTGTACACTGGAGACTTCTTCAAAGACGACGTCGGAAAGGAAGACTTTTTTTTTTTTTGATCAAGGACTATTTCTAGGCACCCCCTCTCCCCCGATACACACCCTGCAGCCCACACACCCCTACCTGCCTGGCCACCTCTGCCTCGGTTTTCACAGACTGCAGCCACAACCACACTTCTCTCTACTCCATTAGGAGCTGAGTAGCTCAACAGGCTCTGAGGCTAAGACCTCAAGGGAAGCAGAAAGAGAGAGAAGAGGAGAGACTTTCAAGTACCCTGCCCTGTGGTTAAGGTGAAACAAATTTTGCAAATGGAGTTTTAGTAGAAATGGCTTCTATACTTTACTAGAAGGAAATTGGGGTGGGGGTGGTGAGGCTGTATCAGAAAGGAAATGATTCCACGTCCCGGTGAGATTCAGGAAAACCTCCCTGCCTAAACTTATCTGTGTGTGATGCAAGCATGAATGGAGGGGAAAAACGGGAGGCAAAGAAAGCTACACAGAAGCTACCTGTGCGTGTGTGTGCGCTCACGTGTGTGCGTGTGTGTGCGTGTGTGTGCGTGTGTGTGAGTGACCACTTCATGAGACCAATTTGGGCTCCACGGGGAAGCCATGAACAGGCTGTGCCCAATCGTTCCCTCTGATCCTTGCAGCAGGCGGGGAGCTGGAGCTTACACCTGCTCACACTGAATCAGAATGAGTCATTTGGAACTTGGGTGCCGGAACAAAGTGCTTGCGAACTGCCTGGTGAGGCTCTGCCTCCTTGTAGGTGGCTAGACCTCTGCGAGCAGTCATATTGTTTTCCTCTCTCCCGTTCTCCTTCCAACAGGAGAAATCCTGACGTTCCAGACAGCCTCTGCAGCTGGGCCAACCTGGGCTCAGCCGACCCTACCATGTGGACCCTGCTCCTCCACCACAGGTCGGGAGTTTGAAAGTAAAATGGATGACCTGACCTTGCTCGATCTTCTGGAGTGCCCCGTGTGCTTTGAGAAGCTCGATGTCACAGCCAAGGTCCTCCCTTGCCAGCACACCTTCTGCAAGCCATGTCTACAGAGGATTCTCAAGGCGCGCAAAGAGCTGCGCTGCCCCGAGTGCAGGACTCTGGTGTTCTGCAGCATCGAGGCGCTGCCAGCCAACCTGCTGCTCGTGCGCCTCCTGGATGGCGTGCGCTCTGGGCAGAGCCCCCGGAGAGGGAGCTCCTTCCGCAGGCCCAGCCTGCTGACCCTCCAGGACGGCAGGAAAAGCAGGAGCAACTCCAGAGGTCTGCCGGCTAGCCCGTTCCAGTTGGTGCCTGGGGTCAGACTGCACATGGAAGGGGTAAGGAAGTTCTCATTTGTTTGCATCACCCACTGTCAGACTGTGCCATGCATGCTAGAAGCAGGAATCTTTTTCTTGGAGTGAACATTTACCCCGTGCTAAGTTTCTGTAGGCAATGATTGCTTTTATGGAAAAGGCAGTGGAATCCTGAGATTGTTTAATTGAGCTCCGTCTTTTGCTTTGAACTGTTGACGGCATCTCCTAGGTTCTGCTTTCTGCTTGTTCTGAAGGTCACGGGCAAGGAAAACCTGGTAGAGTGTATGTTTTGTCTTTCGCTTCTGTTCTAAGGGCATGGGGAACGTGTGAGGGGTGGGAAAAAGAGGAAAAATAAAACCCATTCCTTATTGCTTTCTGAGGTTTTGCTTTAATTTGATCCAAATGCATCTTCTCACCCTCCTCCCCATCATAAAAAGCAATTACGAAAACGCTCGTTTGTGATCTGTTTGAAGCTGTCAAGGTACTTGATCCTTGAGCTTGTGCAGGGGAAAAGCTTCTCTGTGGGTGGAGTGATTAACCGCAGTTAATAGTTGGACCGTGAAATACAACCGTTGTGTATAGGACACCTGTACATGTGTTTCACTTTACAAAGCAAGTAACATGTGCAACACGTACACATCGGGGCTGCAGTGAAACAGGCCTGGCTGAGCTGCTTGGGAGATCCCTTAGCATTGACTTTAATGTCCGGAAGATGTGGGTGCCCCTGTGTGTGTATGCCTTGAAGACGTGTGCCCTGTCCTTGCGGTGGGATGTTGTGTGGAAAGGGCAAGGCCCCGGCAGGAATGATTTGTCCCCACTGGGGCGGGTATGTCCGAGTGGACATAGAAAGCCAGGATGGCCTGAGTGACTCTGTTTCAGTTCTACAAGTCTTAACCAGAGCAAGCTTGACAGGGGAGTCCCTGTTGTGAAACGCAGAAGTAGATGGGTGTGAGGGTCCAGCTCAGGAACCCCCCATCCCTTCAAGGAGCAGAGGCTTGTGATGTGTATTCGGGACAATTTGCTGAAATCCTTTAAGAGTTCGCCTCTCCTGGAGTCCCTGCACCTTTAAGCCACCCTGGGGGTGGAGGCGCCTGTGAACTTTGGAAGAGAAGAGCGGGAAGAAGCAGGTCCCTGCAGACTTTTTCTGGCTGCTATGCTTGTGCGTGTGAACACATTCCAGACATGGGCTTGGCCAGCCTCTTTGAGTATCTCCGTGAGCCCTGGGTTGGCCATCAATCAGACTGCACAGGCTTGGAAAAGGTGGAGTGGGCGTGGAGCTGCAGACTTGACTCAAATATGCCTTGTTTATAGAGAAAAGGGCTCCATCTCGGGGGTAACAAATCCCCCATGAATTCCTAACACCCAACAACCTCTCTCTTCCCCAGCTCTGCACAAGTCTGACTTGCCTCTCAGTATTGTCACTCACTCAGAAAATGTTACCAGACTGGGAGCAAGCAAGCCCCTTACTGGCCTTCAACATTTCTGCTCAGATTTTCATCTTTTATTTCTATGTGACCGTGTTGCTAAGAAAATGCTAGGAGATGCATCCATGGCTACCAAGATTTTAAACCAAAGAGAAGTTCCAGGGCCCATTTGGAGCATGGAATCAATATGAAGGCCGCTCATATGTAAGAGAGAGCCATTAAGATATTGGGTATCCTTGGAACACTTCCAAGGGATGTGTAACATCAGACTGAGGTGCTAGTGACACGTCTGGGCTTATCATCTGAGCTGCTCTGGCCACATCTTTTCTGAAACACAGAAGGACTCTTGCGTCTGAGCTGTGCCCGAGACAGGACGAGTGCTCTGCTACAGAGCAGAGCCCACCACCTCTCCCACAGTCTCCATTTCCTTCATGTGCCGAGCTTTCCTTTCTTGCTGGATCTCTTCCCCACTGCCCTTTCACCTCTCTGTATGTCCATGTGGCTGTCGTCCTACAGCCTGCCACTTCTGTCCACAATGGCTGAGTGGCTGAGAACAGCTGTACATTGCTCAAATGAGAGTTGAGGATTTCCTGGCTATCACACTCTGTTGTAATAATCATCAAAATCCTCCAAGTTACTTGTCCCCTCTGCCTTGGTCTACCCGATCTAGTCAACAGCTCATAACACTCGGAGTCTACCCGCTCCAGGATAATGTGAAAACAACCTTTGCAGATCCTCACAGGGCCTTGGAAAACATCAGCGAGGCAAAAGCAAAGCCTCATCATTAGCACTGATGTCAACTTGCGGCATGACTTTGGGCAGGCCCCTGAAGTCTGTTGGGTCTCAATTTAAAATTCTGTAAAATGGGGAAATATATTGTAAAAACTGAGAGCCATGATGAGATGTAACTAATTAGTGTTTGCAAAGCACTTTGAGAACCTTAGATGAAAGGCATTTGCAAGATCATGATCGTAGTAAACATTATTATTGACTGTTTATTGTGCCCTGCCATGCATGAGGCATTCTATAAAACACAGGAGTTACAGCCCTTGAAGGAGAGTGTAGCAGGTATTATTATTATTGTACTTGATTCCATGATGAGTCCACGCCAGGGTAAAACTATGTGTAAAGTACTCCCCTAAGAGGGCATAAATCACCTGTTGTCCACAGGGTAGCATTTTGTAAAACACCTCTTGCAGAGGATTCACCGATAACCTGACACTTGGAAAGAGTTTGTTTAACTTCTGTTCATGGGACTTTTAAGCCCAAAGTCGGCTCATCCAGACTCCTTTTAAAAAGAAAGAAAGAAAGAAAGAAAGAAAGAAAGAAAGAAAGAAAGACAGACAGAAAGAAAGAAAGAAAGAAAGAAAGAAAGAAAGAAAGAAAGAAAGAAAGAAAGAAAGAAAGAAAGGAAGGAAGGAAGGAAGGAAGGAAGGAAGGAAGGAAGGAAGGAAGGAAGGAAGGAAGAAAGAAAGAAAGAAAGAAAGAAAGAAAACAAGCTCATCAAGCTCCTTTGTTGGCACCAAGAGGCCTAAAGTGTCTTGTGCCAGCCAACATGTTAGGGTGGAACCCACAGTCACACCTCACGGTGCCAGCCCAAGACAGAAAAACTAGCCCATTGTGCCTACACATTTAAAATCCTCCCAAGCTGATTGTGTAAAAGGAAAACTTGAGAAACAACTGTAAGTTTTTACCATGTGCAATTGTTTCAAACTAGCTGACTCCTGGAAAGTCTCTGGTGGTATAAATCAAATCTTACAGGTCTTTTTTTCCATTCTGAAAAAAATAGTCAAGCCAAGCTTTTGAAAAGAATGGGACTTCCTGCACGGAGGAGCTCTCTTCTGCCTCATCTCATTACACTTTACTAACAATGTTTTTGAATTAGGATGGGCCATGAAGTGGAGACATTCAGAATGTGTAGGCTTGGGTCTGAGAGATGTCAGAATTCAGATCCTGATCCTGCCCCCTCTCAGTAGTTCGGTTAAGTCACTTAAAACCACAGAGCCTCAACCTCTCCATCTGCAAAGTGGTGATAACAGGAATACCCACCTCAGATGGTTGTTGGGAGAAATAAGTGAGGTGATTCACATTAATTAGCACACTGAACAGCTTCTGTTAAGTGCTCAATAAATGTTAGCAGTGATTGCTCTTGGAGTGACTCAACACTTTCTACTCTAAATTGTCCGTCCTCTTTTACCCCCTTCTTACTCGAGGACCATTTGAAGATGGTCCTTAGCTTTTCTGATTTCTGGCTGGTGTGATTTCTTGCCTCAACTGATCCATGGCCATGACTCAAATGTGCTGGGATTCTTCCCAGCATGTGCTGGTTCTGCTCCTCCCTTTCAGCACCCTTCAGAACCTCTGAGTCAGCTTTTTTTTTTTTTTTAAAGATTTATTATTTATTTATTTATTTTTACTGGAAAGAAAGATTTAGCGAGAGAAGGACAGGCAGAGAGAAGGAGAGACAGGAAGCTCTTCCATCCTCTGGTTTACTCCCCAAGTGGCCACAATGGACAAAGCTAAGCTAATCAGAAGCTAAGGAGCTTCTTCCAGGTCTCCCACATGGGTGCAGGGTCCCAAGGCTTTGGGCCATTCATTGTCTTCTGCTTCCCCAGGCCACAAGCAGGGAGCTGGAAGGGAAGTGGAGCATCCAAGACTAGAACTGGCACCCATATGAGACGATGCAGGTGCTTGCAGAGGATGAGCCAGTTGAGTTGCCATGTCAACTCCTCTGAGTCAGTTCTATGAGAAAACTCCCTAATAATTCTACTTCCTCAAATACCAAGTTCTTAGGAAAATCATCCAGAGGAGAACCTGCTGCGCTTGTTCAACACCGTCAATGTTTCATTAACTACTCTATTTGTTCTTTCTCTCTGCCTCTCACTCTATTCCCCAACACAAATGCTTCCACCCCGGTCTTGCAGGGCAGGACTTTCTCCTTTCATTGCTAAGCTTCAAACCAATCACACACATTTCTGTCTTCCTTGCCCCATATCAGTGAGGACATACCTGCCACCTCCAGTCCCCAGACCAGGTGACTTTGTCCTAGAAACATTTTCAGCAGGTGTTGTAAGCCAGTGAGGGGCTGAAAAATGAGGTCGGAAATGCACATCAGGGAGTTGGGGTGGGGCAGAAACCAGAGGCAGCCCCTTCCTAGGTCCCTGAGCCTGCATTCTGTGCCCCAGCTGTGATGTAGATAGTGGTTATGCTAAACTCGGAAGAGGATTAGAATCATCCAGGCCCCTGAAAACAGCAGGCAGGTCCCACCTGGGACAGCAGGGCTAAATACAGCAGGTGGAGGGAGACATAAAGGGAGACTGCGGTTGAGAAGTTAGGAATTACAGATGGTTCCCTGACTGCCACCATGTGCAGATGCTGTTAAAAAACCATAAGCCCCCAAATTGGCACTTCCCCCAGCCTCCTTCTGCTCCCCTTTCCTAATTATCCCCTTCCCTTTGCTGTGTATTGTATGGTGTGTGCTGGGACTCAGTCATTTGGCAGCTATGAAGCCTTAGGCAAGGTGTTGGACTACCATAGTCCTCAGTTTCCTTATTTGTACCATAATGACGTACATAGATTGTAAGGTAAATGAGATAATGT